GAACTTGCCATGGGCCTTCTGACCCCCGAGGATGACCACCGAATCCAGCAGGGCCCCCTTCCGCTGGTAGCTCAGCAGGCTGCACGGCCGCTCCTGCTTGCGGTCAATCAGGACACTCTCAATCAGCGTGGTGTGGGCTGAGCTGTTGTCCATGCACGTCAGCTTGTTACTGGCGAACATCAGTGTCTTGTTGGAGACAGCATTGAGGTTGATGTAGTTGAAGAACTTCTTGAAATACTTCTCACGTTTGTCCTTCCGGAAGTGCACCCAGTTGATGAGTGCACTGAGGGCCTGGTCTTCGTTGAGTACGTGCAGATTCTCATCCCGCAGCAGCCGGCCGAAGATGACAGGCGGGCAGCGCATGAATTGCATGGAGCCCTCGGGGCTGGCCCAGTAGTGGAAGTTGTCACGAATGCCCGAGTAGGCCAAGTCCGACACCTCCTTGAGCTCAAACAACTCAGCCAAGAAGAGGTAGCGCAAGCAGTTGGCCCGTGAGATGGACTTAATCAGGAAATCATTGCAGTGGATCCGGAGGCGAGGGGTGTTGAAATACTGGGCCCCCCGCAGCAGCTCCTCCACGTTCTGCTCTGAGATGACCACCTTGCCACTGTAGAAATAGTCCAGGAGCTGGTCCACTGTGGATGGGCTCAGGTAGTTGGGGTCGATGGTGATAAAGAGCTCATCGGTGGTCTTCATGTCGTTGCTGGAGATAAGGTTCTTCACCAGCGGGGAGACAGCAGCCAGCACATTGCGATGCGCAAAGAAGACATGGTGGTCCACGGTCAGGGCCATGTCCCAGTACTCTTTGCGTTTCCTCTGTTTGTTCAGATTCTGCAGCACGAAGCTGTTGTAGTTTTTCTCAGTAAATTCCAATTTCATGGTGCTTCTTGCTGGCTGAGACAGATCACCAGCAGGTTCTGGAGAAGAAATGATCTCAGGCCTTTGGGATCCAGATTGATGGGTGTTTGTAGAGTAGCTGACTTAGGGAGGAGTGGGACTGGGGTGGGGTGGGAGAGAGGCTGATGTCATAGAGTGGACAAGGTCATCACAATGTAGGCCCCTGCCCTGAGGCCTTCCTCCTCCTCTGTGCTCACACCATCCTGCCAAGGGCCAGATGCCCTACTGGCATCTGTGGATGGGCTCAGATCCCAGGATCCCAGGAGGGAACCCTGGGGCAGGCTGCAGATCCCACCTCAGACTAACAAACTTCAGTTCTGTTTGGGTGGGGCTGTGGGGACAAGGCACATTGTAGTGGGAGCGAATGGAGTGAGGGGAGGAAAGAGACAGATCATCTAGAAGAATCCACCCAGTTTATAGCAGGGAAACCAGGACCCTGGGGCGAGAAGGGACACACCCAAGGCCACACAGTGAGCTGGGAGCAAAGAAAGGGCCCAGAACCCAAACCTTGTGTGACTTAGAACTTTTCCATCCCTCCAAGAAACTCCTTGGCTCTCCTGGAGTCTCTGGTTCTCAGGCCTTGAACTTGGCTTTCTCTTTCAAGGCTCCTGGACAGCAGAGAGGAAAGGCAATGTCCTTCAGCTCCTGGCCTTTGTGAAGGACACCACTCTCCTTCAGAGTAAAGGGAGATTCTGAGGCAGCTGGCTGCAGTGGGGCTGCCATGAGGCAGCCACACCCTGGGGCATGCAAAGCAGCCTGACTTCTCTGGGTTCCCTCACCGACTGGGGCAGGCTCGGCACACTCCCGAGTTCCTAGTTGTAGAATTTTGGGGGCCAAGTGTGGTCCTAGAGGGGCCGGCAGCTGCGATTCTGTAAGCTTTCAGGTTCCTCATCTGCGAGACTGCAATGATAGTACCCGCTTCGAAGAGAACTGATTCTGGGGCGTGGTGTTTGCCCTAACCATCAAGATGTCAGCATCCCATATCTAGGTTTGACTGCCAGCTCTGCTTCCAATCTCACCTTCCTGTTAATGTGCACCCTGGGAGAGCAGCAGGTGATGGCTCAAGCAGCTGGGTCCCTGCCCCACACATGGGAAACATTGATGGAGCTCCTGGCCCAGCTCCAGCTGTTTGTGAACATCTGGGGGGTTGTGAATCAGAGATGGAAGCTCAAATAAATGAAGATGGAAAGTATCCTGAGAAAATGATAGAATGGTAAGCACGGCTTTTGGCTCGTGGTAAACGTCCACAAATGCTGGCTGCAGATCGCTTGTCAATATTCCTAGGTCGCCCAGCGCCCCAGGGAAGAGTGGATCTCGGTTAGCTGCAGTTTGGTTGTGGGGTTTGTGGACTCCTGGTGAGCAGCTTCTGAGCCAGCTGCGGCCACACGGTGGGGCTAGAGGGTCATTCGCAGCCCCTGGAGTCGGTTCGCTTCGCCAGAACTGTCCCAACCCCGACGGGGGGCGTCTCTTTCAGCTGTGGTTCCGAGCTGCTGCGGGTTCCACCGTGCCAGGGCGACAGTGCAACTCCTCCGCGGAGACCCTGCAATGCAGTCTGCAGGTTCGACGGTGCACAGCCTGCGGGCACGCTCCTGTCTCACCAATGGGGCGCTGAGCCTCAGCGGGGCACGCGCGCCGCCAGAGGGCAGTCTTCTCCGACTCGGGGTGTCCTCTGGGAAGGTTCTGCAATCCCGGCTTCGTGGCCCTGGCCCGGGTCAGGGTCCGCGGGCGTTCCCGGAGTTCCTGGGGGTACATATGTGCAGATGCTGCCCTTGCCAGGAGCGGGAATGGGGCCGGCTGGATCGTCGGCCCCTAACGACCAGGGCAGCCTTTGGGCGGTGGGGAGGGAGCCGGGCGGTTCCACCAGCTCCATAGATGAGCTGGTGCAGAGGGGACCTGGACTTAGGCTCTGTCCCGCCTCCCGGAGTTCTGAGTCCTTAGCCCCGCATGACCCTCAAGCTAATGGCAGTGCCTCTTCCCAGAAAATTCCAGTTTGGGGGCATTCCATGCAGGAGGTGACCACACCCCCTTTGGCTCCAAAGCAACAAGACAGCAAGGAGCTTTCTCGTTAGATGCTTCCAGTCTGATGGGGCCTGGGAATGTGTCATTGTGGAGACCTGAGGGGCCATGACAATACAAATGCATGCCCAATTTCCTCTGGCTGCAGCAAGGACAAGGGGTTTACTCACATTAAAGTTGACAGGGTGAGCGCTTAGGACCTGGGCTCACCCTCAAGCTCTCTGGTTCCCAGAAGGCTGGCAAGGGGTCGGTGCCCTAGTGCAGCTGCTAAAGCCAGCACAACATCCATCCTACAGGGTGCCTGCTTAATAAGTCCCTGCTCCATTTTCAATCCAGTTTCGTGCTAATGTGCCTGGGAAGGCAGTGGAGGATGGCCCAAGTGCTTGAACCCCGTGTCCACATGGGTGACTCAGATGAAGTCCTTGGCTTCAGATGGGTCCTGCTCTGGTTGTCGCAGCCATCTGGAGAGTCAACTAGTGGTTGGAAGTTCAATCTCTAACTCTGCCTTTCAGATAAGCAAATCTTGAAAATAAAAGCTGGTGAGCTGTAGGGTTTGCTACCTCGAAACACTCAAAGTGAAATTAGTGCTGAGTGAGTGAGTGTGTGTGTGTGTGTTGGGGCGGGGAGTCCCCAGGAAGTTCGTTGCCTTGGAACCTTGCCAGGGGAGCCAGGCAGGAACCTCAGCCATGTCACAGCCTCAGCTGTGGACTAGACTCTTCCCATCCTCAGGCCCGACCATGGGGTGGGGGCGGGCATGTTGGGAGCTTTGCCTGGTACTGGAAATCCCATTTCTTTCTCTGTTTCCCCTCTTCCTGTGCAGCTGTAACACCTGGCTTACTCCCATCTGTATTTCCCGTTTGCCACTCAGCTCAGCTCTGGCTTGCTGGGGCCCTGACTGGCACGCATGCTAGTGTGTGTGTGTACTTCCACCCTTACATTCTGTCTCCAGAACTCTTAGTTAAAATTCCCAGTCCACTGCCACTGGAGGGGCTGCTCTTGCATCGCTGCACCCCCTCTCATCAGCTGTGTGCACCTGGGCTCCAAAACTTGGCCCGATGAGCAAGCAGTCTTCAGGGGGATGGGCGGAGGTGGGGTGCGGCTTGAGCTACTCCAGCCAGGCAGTCAGCCTGACAGTCTCAGCCACCCACGGCAAGGGGCAGGAATCACATCGGGGAAGACACGACAGCAAAGATTTCATCTTGGTCGGTATCCCGGATGGAATGAGGGGTGCGGCGTGAGGCTGTGTTCACAGCGCAACCCTGACGTCAAGAGGCTGTTTCCAAGTGTGCCTGCTGGGACTCCTCCTTCCCCTCCCCCGCCTGGCACTGACAAATGGGGAGGCCCTGGTTCAGGGATGCTGAGCTTGGCATCCCGGTTGGTTCTGCCTTCCCCCACCACCAGCTGGGGAGCCTTTGTCTAGTTTGAAGCAAAACACAACCAAATTAGCGTCGCTAAGCCTCCGGTGCAAGACTGGAACACTTGGATCTGTCATACATTCCGGGAGACAGGGAGCCATCACACAGCTGCAGCCACAGCTGCCAGGAACAGGCCTGGGGCCCCGCCTTGTGTGGGAAGGCTGGAGGCCGGGTGGGGGGTGCAGTGAGCTCACCCGGAACCCCTATCCACACTCAGTGACTTCATGCAGCCAAGACCACTTGGCCAGGAGCCCAGACAGCATGGAGGGGCTCTCCCGGAACAGGGGGTGGTCTGAGCCATCCAGCCTAGGGGGAGGAGAATCTCCAGGCCTGACCGGGCTCTCCACAAAGCAGGCACAACACAGTGAGCTCTGAAAAGCTGGAAGGAGGGGAAGCAAGGGTCAGGGCATGCTACTGAAATGTAAAAAGAGGCAAGGGAGTTGAGTGGCTTTCCCTCCCCTTTCTGTCGGGAACCACCCTCCCATGTAGGATGACATCATGTCTTACAGCTGAGCAGTCTCCACTATCGATGGGTGAAGCCCTCGCAGAGGCCAAGGCTCTATGGGAAGGTGCTTCACAGCCAGGTGCTTCCCCACCCCATTTGATGTCACGCTTCAGGGCAGGTTTAAGAGTCAAAAGCATTTCCCAAGAATAGAGGGCAACACAGGAAGATCACATGACATGAATTTCCTTTCTTGGTGTCACAAACAGTTGGAGCACAAAACTTCCAAGGATGGACAGGAGGGGAAAGAAGCTTGTTTACAAGAGCACCAAAGAGGGTTATAAGTTGACCTCCCCTCCCATCCTCCATCCCAGAAAACTGTGGTCTAGCCCTGCCACCAGGGTACATGCGCTTTCTGCTCATTGCTGCAGTAGGAGTGAGCTGGTGCAGGACTGAGTGTCCGGAGGTGTGTACCAGGGATGTGGGCAACGCATCACCCGTGCACACAAACACCCCTGCAGGGACAGACACACAGCTGGGTTTTACGGTTCGAGGCACTTCATGTTCTCAAGTCTCCTGCCTTCCCGGCACTTGGGGTGCAGTTATTTCTTGGGGGGCAGGACATTTTCCTCGAAGAAGCCCTGGTTGACAACATTGCCGGCTGGGAAGTATCTGGCCACCACGAAGGAGGACCCATCGCTCGCCGATGCCTTCCCCACACCCATCTTCTTAGTATTCTTCCACACCATGGCCGTAAAGTGCCCTGTAAAGAGTAAAATGGCCAAATCAGCAGCAGCGTGTGTGCCCTGGTACCATCCTGCCAGGCTTGGCACTGCTTGAGCCACGCCGACCCTGGCCAAGGCCAGGAAGCTGCCCCACCTGCTAAGACGATGACAAAGCCAGGGATCCCGCCAGCTCAGGTGCTGCCACCCGGCCTGGCATCGGCCTCTAGTTCCATTCCCCATCTGCTCTCAGGAGCGGGTATCACGGTAGACTGAACCCACCTCCTTTCTGCAAAGTGTGCTTTCAGTTCCTCTTGCCACCGTGTCTTCTTTCCTCCTGTTCCTCCACCTCACCTGTAAACCTGGGAAGGCTTGAGTGTCCCAGGGCTCAACCCTGGCCTCTCTTTTCCTCTCTCTTTAGACAAGTTCATCTTATCCTGGCTTCCAGTTTTATTCCTATAAGGCAACTTCCAGTTCTGTGTTCCCAACAGTAATGTACTGAACACTTCACTCAGACTGACTCACGGCCCTTGCAAATCTAACTTGGTCCCCTAGAAACCAGCCCTGATTGGACCCTCCCCATTTCCATCAATGATACCCCAGGGCACATCCTCCGAAAGGCAGTCTGCCTTCCTTACTTTCCTTCATGTCCCCCACAACAGCCCACCACCCAACTAGAAGATACACCTTAAGGGCATCTACCCTCACAAGTGCACGCTGGCCACCAACCCCTCGTATGAGCCATCCCAGTAGCCAACTGATGGGTCCTCAGCCTCCACACTCATCCCCTCCAATTCATTTTCTATATAAAGAGCCGGAGTGATCCTACAGGAGCATATGCCACAGCTGTTGATTTCCCTTTGTTCATTTCCAACTGCACCTAGAATGGAAATGAATGTTTTGGCCTATTTGCCAGATCATTTGCCAGTGGTCTGCCAGGTTACAATGCTCTTCTGATGACTGGCAGCTTCTTATCCTTTGGTGTCGACCTATATGTCACTTGTCAAAGATGCCTTTTGCAAACACTCTTATTTAATGAACAACTTCCCCCTAGGCATTCTTAAAAAAACTCGATTATTTATTGTTTATTGGTTGGAGAGACAGAGATCAGTAGAGAGAGTGTCTGTCCACTGGTTCATTCCCCAAAGGTCCGTGTTGGCTAGCACTGGGTCAGGCTGAGGCCAGGAGTCCAAGTCTCCATCCAGACCCCCTGTGTGCACAACAGCAACCGATCCCTTGAGCCATCACCACTCCCCCACAGGGTCTGTATTAGCAGAAGGCTGGAACCAAGGGGTAGAAACCAGGAAGGGACCCTGATTCTCAGCTGGGGGGTCATGAGCACCTCAACCAGCATCTTCACTGCTTCACATGCCAAGCACCCATCTAAGATGTTCCTCCATACAGCCTGTGTCCCCTTTCTAGTGTTCTTACCCTTGACAGTGATACATCTGCTTGGCTACTTAGTATTTCTTAGCTCTTTCAGCAGGCTATGAGTCCCACACTGGCAGAAACCAAGTTTGTTTTGTTCATTAAGGTATACCCAGCAGCTTGGCATTGGCTGCACACGAACAGGACAAAACAAGCTTGCTGAACGAATGAATGCATGGATGGATGGAATAAATGATTAAAAGTCATTAGGTAGACCATTTGAGACTGAGCATCTATCTCCCAATAGCAGTACAGGCCTTCCATAGTGACAGGTTTTTGAGACCTACACCAGGGGACGGCCATGTTCAAAGTCCCCTCCTTGGAGCTGAACAGCTCTGTTCCTTTGCAAGCTACCGCTGTGCTCTCCACACACCTCAGGTGCTTCACGGAAATGTCTTCCCCCCCAGGCTCCCACATCTCAAGCTGCGTGCCCTTCATCAGCAAGCCTAGCCTCCCACTCTCCTCTCACCAGACGCCGTGAGGGATTCTTTGCTTGACACAAAGCCGCTGGATTTAATGGGAGTAGAGGTGGGTGTTCCTCCTTCCTGTCTCTCCATGTGCTTCTATGGCCCTGTAGTGCATTCACTCACCCACACCGCCCTGTCTTCTGCTAAGTACCTGGTCAGTTACTGGGCCAGTGACGTGAGCTCAGGCATCACATCAGAGGTGAGTGAGCATGAAAAAAATGGGGTAGCTGTGGTGGAAGACAGGATAATCATTGTTCAAAAATTAAGCATAATTACAACTGGGTGATGTAGCATAATAATTCTGTGCCTGCAGTGCCAGCATCCCGTTTGGGTGCTGTTTTGTGTCTTAGCTGTTCTACTTCCCATCCAGCTGTCTGCTTATGTCCTAGGAAAGCAGCGGAGGATGACACAAGTCTTGGGCCCCTGTACCCATGTGGCAGACAGGGGAAGAAAGCTCCTGGCTCCCAGCTTCAGCTCAACTCAGCTCTGGCCATTTTGGCCATTTGGGGAGTGAACCAGTGGATGAAAGATCTCTCTCTCTCTCTGTCTCTCCTTCTTTCTCTGTAAAACTGTCTTTCAGATAAAAATAGAAAAGTATTAAAGCAAATAAATTAATAAATCTTAAACAAATAAAGAAGATCAAGAATTGCAAATGATTCAGCAATTCTGCTTCTGGGTGTAGCTCCAAAGTACTGAAAGCAGAGAGTCACCTATTTCTATATCCATATGCATATAGAGAGGTGAACCAGTTGATCCAAAGCCACATACTCAAATACCTATCAACAAAGGAAGGGGTGGGGCTCGGCATGGTAGCCTAGGGGTTAAAGTCCTCACCTTGACCACACTAGGATCCCATATGGTCACCAGTTTTAATCCCAGTAGCCCCACTTCCCAACCAGCTTCCTGGTTGTGGCCTGGGAAAGCAGTTGAGGACCACCGAAAGCCTTGGGACCCTGCACGTGCGTGGGAGACCCAGAAGAGGTCACTGGCTCCTGGCTTTGGATCGGTGCAGTTCTGGCCATTGTAGTTACTTGGGGAATGAATCAATGGACAGAAGCTCTTCCTTCTTTCTTTGCTCCTCTCTGTGTATCTGTCTTTCCAATAAAAATAATCTTAAAAAAACAAAAGAAGTGAACAGAGTGGATGATGATGCAGATTTCAAAGGGAATTCTGATACATGTGGTGAACCTTGGAAACATGCTGTGTGAAACAGGCCAGACATCATGAATAGTGGATGGCTTCCTCTAAGTGAGGTGCATGCAGCAGTCAAATCCATCCAGGCCGGAGATGGAGGAGGGACTGCCGAGGCTGTGATTGGGAGCAGGTGGGCAATGGGTGCAGGTGTCAATCTGAGAAGGTGAAAAGGCTCTGGGGATGGGGGATGCTGATGGTTGTTACAACCAACTCTAGTAAGTACATGGCAGTGTACTCAGTGCTGGTACCTACACCTAAAGATGGTTAGAAGGGGGAACTCACACACACAGCGAGAGTGAGACTGGCATCCACATTCTTCTAACCCTTCAGGGAAGAGCAAAACAGACACTCCCCACCGTGTCTTTCTTGTACACAGTAAAGACTGAGAAAAAAAATGTCCATTGACTAAATTTTGTGTCATTCCTCAAGCCCCATTGAACTCTATTGTTATAATTTTAAAAATCTCAATATGCTGTATTTCTTTGTCTACGTCCACAAAAGATTTATGGAAGTTATTAACTGCAGACACCCATCCCCACAGGTGCTGTCACTGAAATAAGAATGAGAAGAAAAGAGCCCTTAGGGTCCACTCCTTCCCCCACGGGCCTAAAGCTGCATGAGCATCTGTCAGTAAGTGTACCACAAAGAGGCCACGCTGGCTGCCCACCCTCCCTGGGCTCCTGGCCATTAGCAGCCCTGGCAGGTGCCACGGAGGCCAGGGACCCAGTCTCTCCATCTCCGAGAGGGGGGAAGAAGCTCCTGCATGAATCTCTCTCTGGCTGGCAAAACGACGCACACAGTGGTGGGAACGCATGAGGCAGTTTCCCAAAAGATGAGACTAAGCAGTTTCTCCTTTAGCTAGGGAGGCTGTGAGCTGCACAGAGATAATTAAGTTACAAGTATTTACAGATTAATTAAAGGACACAACTTCCTTAGCCACCATCAGATACACACTGGTTTCTAAATCTGATTTACTAATAAGAGCTCTAATTTTTCCCCTTCCTTTCTTCCTTCCTTCCTCCCAGGGCTAGAATCTACACTCATACGTGATACCACTGCCACATGTGGCAGCTTTAGCTATTATGCTACAATGCTGGCTTCCTTTTTTAAAAAACATTTTTTTTAAAGACATTGGGTTCGTTGCAGTAGCCTAGTGGCTAAAGTCCTTGTCTTGCACATGTCAGGATCCTATAAGGCACTGGTTCTAATCCTGGCAGCTACTCTTCCTATCTAGCTCCCTGCTTGTAGCCTGGGAAAGCAGCAGAGGATGACCCAAAGGCCTGGGACTCTGTACCCACGTGGGAGATCCGTAAGAGGCTCCTGCCTCCTGGCTTTGGATTGGCTCAGCTTCAGCCATAGCAGCCACTTGGGGTGTGGATCAGTGGATGGAAAGTCTTCCTTTCTGTCTTTCCTCCTCTCTATATATCTGCCTTTCCAATAAAAATAAATCTTTTTTTAAAAAAGACATCACATTCTCCATCTTGCCCAGGACATAAACTTACTAGAATATATCTTTGGAAGACATACTAAGCAAGTCACAGTATATTCTTGCAAGAGAGGAAAAGATGCAATGATAAAAAGCACGAGTGATGCTTTGTGCATTGCTAAGGAAGAACTGACTGCAGCACAGGTCACAGCAAGACGCCGGCAAGGAGGGAAAGTGAGGATGCAGGTTCACAGATGCCGGCCTAAGCTCAATGGCTCTCCTGGACATCCAAACACTGTTGTCACCAGTGAGAAGGAAGGGTGTCAGAGAGCCCTGCTACAGCGCTGGCATCCCCTCAGAGCACCAGTGCCAGCCCTAGCTACCGGGCTTGCTGGCATTCTTTCTTTTCAGATTCATTTATTTTCATGAGAAAGGGAGAATTACAGAGAGAAGGAAAGACAGAGAGAAAGATCTTCCATCTGCTGGTCTACTCTCCAAATGACCATGCAGGTGTAGGGTCTCAAGGCTTTGGGTCATCTCGCTCTGCCTTCCCAGGACACAAACGAGGAGCTGGATGAGAAATGGAGGAACTGGGCACAATCTGGTGTACATATGTGTACTACTGCTTGCAAGGGGGAAAATCAGCCAATTGAGCCATTGGCTAATGTGCTTTCAGTCCAGCTAATGTGCTTGGGAAACTGGCAGAGGCTGGCCCAAGTTACAGGGAAACCTGGATGAAGTTTCTAAAACCTGGCCTTGCCTCGGCCCAGCCTTGGCTCCTGTGGGTGTTAGGAAGTGAACCAGTGGATGGATGATCTCTCTCTCTTTCCCTTTCTCTCTCTGTGTTGCTATGTCTTTCAAGCAAACAAATCTTGAAAGAGAAGGAGGAGGAGGGGAAAGAAGACTAGAAGTTAGAGCTTGAATGAAAACTTTTCACTCTAAAAAAAAAGAAAGAAAAAATGTTTCACCTTATAGAACTTTCAAGTTTCCTCTCATGTAAAAGTGTTACTCCTTCAGAATAAGCATGGAAACACATTTCAGCAGAATACAGCAAAGGAAGGAGAAGAAACCACTCATTTGGTACAGTGGTTAGGACACCTACGCGTCCCATACGGAAGTGCCCGAGGTGGGAGTCCTGGTTCCTCCGGCTAGCTCAGCTTTCTGCCCATGCACATCCTGGGAACAACAGGTGATGTGGCTCAAGAGTCCAGGTCCCTGATGTCCACTGAGTTCTGGGCTCCTGACTTTGCTCTGATCCAGCCCCAGCTACTGCAGGCATTTAAGCAGATGAACTTGGGAATGGAGGCTATCTGTTGGCCATTCAAATTACACATATTGTCACCGTCACCCAGCAGTGGCAACACTAGAACGACGAGGCATGCTCACTGCCAAAAGCGGCTGCGTTTAAATCCTTATCTCCGCTGCTCCTGTCCCCATTGGTCTAAGCTTTCCTCCCCGCCTCTTTGGCCATCTTTCTGCACCCTTCCTCCTGTTCTTCTTCCTGTACTTTCCCCGTCTCCCTTCTGCCACCCTTCTTCCTGCCCCCCAGTCTTTCTCGTCCGTCTTTGTCTATCTATCTTTCTGTTGTCTGTCACAGTTGTCCATCCGTCCGTCCCGTCCTTCCTTCGTTGTCTGCCTAGCTTTTACTGGCTACTTTTATATCGTTCTCCACCAATCACTTATCCCCGTGGGTCCACTTGGCGCTATCTGATAGGCCAGTAGCAATGACATTGTCATGGGGGGGGCATTAGCCTATCCCTGTGACTTCCTGCTTACCTGCTGGAGAGACCAACCCCACCTCCTGGCCCTGGGCCAGTCGCCATATTGCAATGGCCCCTCTCAATCCCTGAGCGGCTTCAGCATCCCGTTCCCCATGACATATAAACAAGGAAGGGCCTGGGGTGGGAGCAGCTGGCAGTGTGCTTCAGCACCCCTCCCACCCCCATGCAGTCAGATCCCTGAGCAATGGGGGAGTGGGGTGCGCAGATTGAGGGTCTCGGGGAGGCTGAGGCATGGTGGGCCCCGAGGACCTTCAAGGGTACAGCAAACCCCGTTTATAGCAACCTAAGCCCTATCCCCTTGCACACAAGGGGCTATGGTATCTGCTTCGAACCTGGGACTGCCAGCTTAGGAAAAGCCTCATTTCCTTCATAGACTTCAGCATCCCTTAAGCTCAAATGGGCAGAATAAAGCTACAGGCGTGATGGCACTGGTAACCAGTAAGTGGTGTGGAAGTGCATCACCAGGTGCCCACAACCTGCCTACAAGCGGATACTACGGCTGGAGGTTTGTTGGAACCAGAAAACTGGAGACAAGGCGAGTCCCTCCCCATCTCCCCTCCCACCCCACCTCACCACCTCAGCCTCCCGCTGCCTGCTCTGGCATCCTGTGTGGCAGGAAAGCCAGGGCAGATGGTGCTACTTTTGTCCCGGGTCTCACCCATGCAGGCTTTGCAGGAGCCCCTGCCCCAAGGGCCAGCAGCAGGAAAGAGTGAGTGTCTCTTAGAGGTATCACTCCCTCCTACTACTGGAGAAAACCCACCAGAGGTGGAGACCGCAAGTGGCTCCTCCCCTGGCACGGGTGACGGCAAGAGGGAGGGTGGGGTGGCCATGGACTCCCCTCTTCAGTCTCCCTGGTGTACCCTTCTGGAGTCTGCAAGGGTTCTGGGAAAAGCCCAGGAGCCTGCTGGGACCGTGCACTCACCTGTGCCCGAGGTGAAACCAGGCTGCTGGAAATTGTAATTCTTGATCTCACTGTACCATCTGTCGGCCACCTCCTTTCCTGTATAGGAAAGACACCCTCAGAGCTTGCACCCAGAGCCACGCCCGCCCCACCACCGAGGGCCACAATCTGGGGTCTGAGAGAACATCCAGTGCTGAGGCTCCCGGGTGCTTCATCCTGGCATCCAGGCTAAGGACAGGAAGGATTGCTGGCCTGCATCCAGCAGACCTGAGTTTGTGTGTCCAGCCTGCTGTGGACTCGCTGTGCAGTCCTTCCAAGGCCACGCCCGCTCTGGGCCTCTATACCAGAAAGCTGAACAGAGTCCTCCTGGGACCTCCTAATGGTGCTCCCAGGTTCTAGGAGGCTCTGGCCTCTTCTCATCCCACATGTACTCCTGCAGAGTGAAAACAAATGGCTGGAAAGCCAGCCACGGGCCCCACAGGTGGAGATGCGAATTAATTCCCTGGGGGCTGGTGCTGTGACACAGCTGGTAAAGCCACGGTCTACAATGCTGGCATCCCAGATAGGCACCAGTTCTAGTCCCAGCTGCTACACTTTTGATCTAGCTCCCTGCTAATGTGCCTGGGAAAGCAGTTGATAGTTCAAGTGGTTGGGCCCCTGCACCCATGGGAAATCTGCAAGACGCTCCTGGCTTCAACTGGCCCAGCCTCAGACACTGCTGCCACCTGGGAAATAAAGCACTGGATGGAGGATCTTGGTCTCTCCCTCTCTGTAATTCTGCCTTTCCAATTAAAAAAAAAAAGTAATTAAAAAATAAATAAAGGGGGAGAGGGTACACAGCTGATCCCAGGCCTAGAGCTCAGGGCCTTCGACCATAAAGCAGTGAGTCTTGGCTGTCACATGGCAGGCAGGCGTGGCTAGGGACCCTGTCCAAACCCTGAGGTCAGCTGGACCAGGGAGGGTTGCGAGTCTGCATCTCTGGCCCAACCCCGGCTGCTCCTCTGGTCCATGAGCCACACCTGGGCCTGCCTTGTTCCGGAAGCATTTAGGACAGCTGGATGCCTGCTTCCTTGCTCAGACCTCCTGGAAAAGACACGTGGATGACGGCATTTTTCAAAAAGCTCAGCCAAAGATCCTGGCATGCAGGATAGGGAGCCAGGGCTTTGGAGGTCCCTGACTTACCCCCTCTTTCCATGTCTCCCTCTGGCCCTCCTGCGTCTGCTCCAGGCTCCGGGGAGCTACAGCCTGTGCCTGGCCATGGGCTGCAGGCAGAAGGGGGTACAGCTGGGTGGGGAGCCCAGGGCGAATGGTGCTGGAGGTCTCAGGGATGTTCCTGGGGACTCCCAGGAATGCGAGGCCAGCAAGGAGGGAGTGAGTCATGCTTTCTCCCCACTGGGGCTTACAGGAAGTTCTGTGGAACGGGAAAGCTCACGCTGCTCTTGTTCCTGAAAAGCCCTGCAGGAAGGGGAGCCAGCGAGCTCAGGAATGTCTGGTCAGCATGGAGGATCACTCCACCACTACAAAGCCAGAGACCAGGGTTTGTGTTTCCAAAGTGAAAATAGCCCTGTTGTTTATCACCAGCATTGTTAAAAATTAAATTCAGAAAATTGTGAGGAAAGGAGGATGAGTGGAGAGTGAGGAGGTTTTGTGGCAGCAGCACGGGAGGAAGGCTGGTCTCCCTCCACTTCTCCACTCCCGTCCCCGCCCCCGCCAGGCCCAAGCAGATGGCACGTCTGACTCATCTAGCTGACCCTGAGCTGGCTGGCCCTGAGCCAGCCAGCGAAACACTTAGGGAGTTGAAGTCAGCTTGCAGCCCATTCCAGGAATTCAGAGTTTCTCCTGTTCCCATGGAGGGTGTGGGGGACAGAAGGGTGGTCGTAGGAAATCCCACCCAGGCCCAGGGCTGGGGTCGCAACCCACCTGTCTGATCGTAGGATGCCCATGCCAGGTTCTCCCCACATTGACCGCGACTGGATTCTGGGCTGTGTTTGAGGATCCTTGTGCTGGCCAGGGCTTCGGAGTACCTGCCAGAGTCCATGGGGCTAGATCAGAGAGGGCCCCCCTTGGCCAAGCCTAAAGGAGGGGTTGCAAGGCCGAGCCTCCATCCCCTTCTGCTTTCATAGAGGAAACAGGGGAGCATCCCGCCTGTATGTGTGGCCTCCAGCAGACCCTTTTACAGAGGCACAAACTGAGGCTCCAAGGGAGCTGCCCTGGGGCAGGTGGCAGAATGGTGTGATTCAAGCCTGGGTTGGATCCAACACCAAAACCCACACTCCAGGGAGCAGTCCTGGCATTTTCCCCATTGGTGACAGCAGTGGCATCCCCGGGTAGGGCTGGGGGCACTCACTGCTGAGCCTCTCGGTTGAGCTTCTTGCAGAGCTTTAGCGGAGGGACACCGTGCTGCTGCCGGTACTCATTGTGCGCTTTCAGGACCTCATTATTGAACTGTTTTGAAGCTGAAACGATAGCAATGCGGGAGGGGCTCAGTGCAGTGAAAAGACCCTCGTAGATGAGGTAAATGGTATACGTCCATGCAGCTCCTAGTTCGAGGCCAGCCAGAAGGCCCCACCCTACATGCTGTTCGTCTTGTGTCTGTCCTTTGCCACCCACATCTCCACATAGGGAGACCCTGTGATGCTGTGAGCTCTCCCCGGCCATGCTGGAGAGCTGGGTCTTTATCCAAGGTGATGGTGAACCTCGGGCAGGGCTATGGTGGGGTGATGATGTGGTTTATGCTTCTGCAAGACTCTGCCAGTGGCTGAGTACAAGGCGCACAGGAGGTGCTGTGTTGATGTTGAAGGGCTGGATGGTCAGCCCTAGGACCCCTGAAGGAAAACACCTGGGAAAGCTGGGGTATCTCAGGCCAGCCCCATAGTGAGGGAGGGAACCTGGAAAGGCCTGTTGTAGGAAACTGTGCTAAGCTGGGGAAGAAGGACGCCCATCCCGGCCTGGAGAAATCAAGGCAGTGAAGGACAATCAAGGAAGAGAGCTTGAGGGAAGGGCAGCACTGAGGAAGCAGGGGCAGGGAGCAACATGGGAAAGAATGTGGTGCTGATTGGGGTGGGGCCATTAACTGGGTCCACAGCTGCAGTGGGCTAAGAGGTGGAGGTTTTGCCCAAATTGGTCATGATCTCAGAAAAAACAAGGTCAAAGGGGGCTAGGATTAGGGAGAGAAGAAATAGGTAAAGACAGGGCAGGCAAGGTCAGTAGTGGAAAGAAGCTATACCAACTTGGTTCTGAAACAAAACCCTATTGATTAGTTATTCCCTGTTTATCCATCCAACACCTATTCAAATCACCCATTCGTCCGTTCATCCATCCATGCATCCATCCATCCATCCATCCAGCATTTAACAAATAACATCCACTCATTCAATATCTCCTTTCTATCCATACAATACCCATTCAGAATAACTGGCCCATCTGCCAACTATCATTCATCAAATATCATCTCCTATCTGTCCATTCAACATCCATCCCCAAACCACCCATGTACCCATCCATCCTTCAACAAACATCATCCATCCATCATCTAACAAATAGCATCCATCATCTGCAATCTAGCCATCCAACACTCATCCAAAACCAATCAACCAACCACCCACCCTTCAAATACCACCCTTTCATCATCCAATACTGTCTATCCATCCCTCCAGTCTTCATCTAATACTCATCCATCCACTGATCCACCCTGTGGCCAGCATCACCACCCACCCATCCTTCCATCTCACATCCACCCCATTCCAGCCTACCCATCTACCCATCTGCTCTGTGAGCATCTCCCCTGGGCCAGGCCCTATGGTTGTATTCTAGAGGTCCAGAGACAACCCAGCCATGTCCTGCCCCCGAAAAGCTCACACACAGAAGGGACACAGCCTTGTCAACAGCCAGCAGCATTGTGACAAAAGCCAAGATGAGTGTAGGTACAAGAGGAAGTTGGAGGAAGAACAACCTAACCCAGTCTGCAGGTAACCCCTGATGTGAGCGCTCTGTCCTGGGTGGGCAGGATTAGCTAGGCTGAGACAGAGAGGCACCTAGCACTGGCCTTAACAGTCTAAGGGCACTCCTCCAGGGAGGTGGGATGAGGCCCATCTAGAGGCACTGAGCCTGTGCCCTGAGGGTTGGCTGTGGGTGGTGGCCGGAAGGGTGTGAAGCTGAGTGTGAAGGAAGGGGAATACTCAGTGCCCTGCTGGGGTCACATCACCATCTTGTTAACCTTTCCCTCAAGGCTAAGGACAAGACCTGATAGAAAACCTCTTCCCCCTTCTTGGGGCCAGATACTTGGGGACTGATGGCTTTCAAAGAGCCTCTGAGGGGACAGGAAGGGCCACTCCTCATCTCACCCTTAGGGAGAGCCCTCAGAGAGGGAGACTGTCAAGCCTGCATGTGGAGGAAGTGGTGGTTCAAGTGTCTGGTGTGTGTGTGTGTGTTGGTAAAGAGGGAGTGGTAAAAAAAAGCTGGGGCTCAGCAGCCTTGTCACTGGGGTGAGAGTAATATGGGCTGGGGGAACTGAAACCCCAGATTCCTGAGGTTTTGGTTGACAGAGATGAGACATGAACAAAAGCTGCAGGTGTTGACTAAGCTGGGGCAGAGGGCAGAGAGAAGCCTTCAGCTTGTGTGTAATCAAGAGGTGGGGCAAGCCTGTGTTCCTAGGAAAGACAGAGACGTCAGATGTAGCGGGAGAAAGAGGAAGATATTGTTGGATGAGGGCCAAGTTTCAGATCCTGCAGGCAGCTGAGGCTTGACCTGCTTCACAGCAGCATGAGCACCTGTAACATGACCAACTGAGCTTTCCAATGGTTAAGGTGGCACCTTTTCTGTGATGTGTTTTTGAACCACAAAGAGATGTCAAGGTCAACAAGTGATGCAGCTGCAGTCACAGGAACATTGGAAAGAACACTTTAGGAGGACATGGTGGATGGGAACGGGTGGGCATCTCATGAGTGACAGGGTCAGGAGTCAGCAGGGTGGGGGATGGCAGAGTCCACGGGACCCCCAGGCGGGACTGCTTCAACCAGTCTATGTGAGAGACAGTGCCCATCTGAATTTGTGTTCCTATGTGAGAGAGGAGTCTTAGTAGCGGTACCAGGGTCATGCATCCTGACGAAGACCAGACCTTGGAGGATACTGGTGAGGCCTCTGATGAATTCTGGGGTGTCCTAGGGAGAAGCAGGGGGTGGTGGTGCAAAAGGCAAGCTGAGAGATTTCTAGGCAGCCTAAATAAGGCCTTTCTGAGCAGTGCTAGGGGCTGGCACCCCAGGTAACGAGCTAGATGGAGACCACATGGTCCGTTCCCTTCCAAGTCGAAACTCCCTTAAAGTCTCATGTGAGAGGAGGCAGAATGAACAAAGAGCTTCCTGAGTTTCTCTAAGGAGATGGAAGGATTACAACAATCATATATCCGGGCAATGGCATGGGACAGCACTGAGTGACAGGCTTGACAAGGACCACCCTAAAGTTCTGTCCAGGTCCAGTGTCTCAAGCAGGACATGCAGGAACTAGCCCAACACCAAGAGACGCATGAGACTGTGGGATGTATACCAGAGTGAACCAGGGAAGGCTGCCTGGAGGAGTTGTTCCTAGTTCAACAGGCATAAGTTAAGGAGGCAAAGGGCATGGAAGCGGCCAGAGGAAAAGAGACCCAGGCATATCCTGGAGCACTGAGTGAGAGGGGGAAATTATGGGAGCAGGTGGATAGCTAAGGTGAGCCCAGTTTTTAAAAAATTAATTATTTTTTATGTATTTGAAAGGCAGAGACACACAGACATAGAAATCTCCCATCTGTTGGTTCTCTCCTCTCAAATGCCTGCATTAACTGTGATTGGGGCCAGGAACCCAGAACTCAATCTGGGCGCAAGTAGTTGGACCATCACCCAGTACCTCCCAGGGTGTGCATGAGCAGGAAGCTAGACAGGGAATGCCACTGGGACTCAAACCTAGATACTATGACATGAGATGGGTGTGGCCCCGATGGTGTCTTTACCACCATACTAGACACCTGGCCAGGGGTGCCAGCTTCAAGGCAGACTCTGTGTGGGCGTCCATGTGCCCTGGACCCCACAGTGCTACAGGTGCTGCGGGCTCCCTGGCAGCAAGGACATAAAACGCTGGTACAAACTGGTCACTGCACTCCCAGGAAGTGGGAAGTGACCAGAAACAAAAGTGAAAGTGCCTGGGTTCGCTTGGAACCCAAGCCAGGCCTGAGTTCCTGGAAGCAATGGCAGGGTGTCCTGGCTGGAAAGCGGGGGTGGTGGGGGAGGACAGCTGGACCCACAGTCACACCAGTCACACCATGGGCAGTCACAGGAGTCCTTTCTCACCCTGGCAGGCGTCATAGGCCAGGTAGCTCCTCCAAGATCATCCAGCAAGTTATCAGGGGTGACCACACCCAACAAGAGGCACACCCAGCTTCTGCAGACAAACCTGAGAACACTGATAAACAAAAGAAAGAAAAGGAAAATCGGCCCAGCCCCTGGACAGGCAGGGAGAGTCCAAGCAGCCATCCATGATGGAGAAGGGCGGGGATTACATCCTTGTTTCTTTGCAGGAGGGCAGGGGGAACTGAGCAGGCAGGCGAGACAGGCCCAGGTGCCCTACTGGCCAGCCAGTCCTTCCTAGGTGAGATCTTAGCAACCTTGGCCTTGCCCATCTTTCTGACTAGGAAACTGAGGCTTGAGAAGGGAACTTGCCTAAATTTCCACAACTCCTCCAGGAGTGGACCCATCACATCCAGGGGGACTGATGGAATGTGGAGCCTGTGGTCTGACCCGCTAACCCAGGGGACAGAAGACAGACGAGGATGCAGATGGTAACCTAGGAAACAAAGCAACACACAGACCCTGGGAGGCAGGCGCAGCATAGCCTTGGGGTTTCTGGAGGAGAGAAGCGGAAGAGGCTGATTTCTCAAGAGCCAGTGGGGGAGGGAGGAGGCGTGCAGTGAGGGCACACCCGTAGCGACAGATGCTGCAGGAGTTACAGGGGGCAAGTACGGGGCTGCAGCTAAAGGTCAGAGCTGTGGAGGGGCTCCCTGGGGCTGAGGGAGGAGGCCACGTGGGCTCTCTGCCAGAGTGCAGGCAGCCACCAGAGAAGCCCAGGGCAGTCAGGGGTCAGCGCAGGAAGTGAGAACAGCTTCCCCCAACCCCCAACCTTGGCAAGAGGCTGTGTGGTCTCGCCTTTTGGGCAAAGCTGGTTCTGCCTGTTTCTAGTGAAGAAAGTATCAAGTTGATCATTGGGGTTAAAAAAAAAATGTATTCCAGATGGGCAGCTCCTATAAAGTGGAAATTCAAGAGGCAAGTCCCAGCCCTTCCCAAGCCAAGTGACCTACTACAAGTGGCTGGAATACACTGTGCCACATTTTCCCCATAAATGAGCCCGGGGTGGCCAGGACCCACCTCGCAGGGCTATTGTGAGGGCTGAAGGCACTGATGCACACCGCTCCGCTCCCCCCCCCCCCCCCGCCCCGCAACACACTCTCACTTCTGCTGTGCTGGTGGCAGGAGATAGGGGCAGAGGCATGCTGTATTTCTTAGAGATGATTAAGAGGGCTTGGGGGAGGGCCCAGCTCAGCCAAGGTCAGTGGCCAGGGTGGCAGATAGGAAAGTAGGCAGCTGGGGAAGCAGAGAGCCAGAGTATAATCTAGGCTTGCTCACTTGGCTGGTGGGGTGTGAGCTTGGACTAGGTCTGTCGAGGTATTAATCCTCCCACCATCTAGAAAGCCGGATGGATTGCAGTCGCCTTGCACACAGTTAAAACAGCTGGCAGCACCTAGCGGTCTCTTTATCTGACGTGCAGGAGGCAGATGATGGACCATCACTGTTACTAGGGCAAAAGGCTTCCTTTCTCTGCCTGGTGTAACTGTTGAGTATCCAGGCTTCTCAGAGAGACCAGGGCTGGGAGCAGGCTCTAGGAGTTTGGACTCTAGACTCCCTACAGAATAGTCAGTGGTGTGAGAAGTTTCAAGTCATGGCCTTTACCCCAAGCAGCTGTGGGTGTGACAGAGGCTAAAGATGAAAGGAGTGCTGAATGGCTGGACTGCAACACCCATTGGTTCCAGTGGAAGTCGGGGCTGGAAACAGAACCTACCCAGCAATTGCAACCACCAGCTGATCGGAGCAATGGACTGTGCCAGGCCCTGTACTTGCTAGTACATACAAGAATCTGGGTCTGGGAACACCTCAGACAAAGTCTCTTTGGGGATCTCCCCAATCGAACTGCTGGACTCAGAACCCTAACTAAGAAAAGAGAGAAAACAGAACAAGTCAACCAACCACCTCAGCTATATGTTGGCAGTGAAATACTGGGCAAACAGAGACTCTATGATGGACTATGCCAATCAGTGGATTTTTCAATGACCTCATCGTGCTTGGAATGGCGAGATTGGCAGCAATTCATAACTACTGAACTATCAAAACCACTTGAGCAAGACCCTCGGAGCATTCCCCACATCAGGGACCTGGAGTGGGTGGGAGACTGGGTGGGGCTTCTCCCTTAATATCCCCCTTTACCTCAGATACATGAAGGAAACAGTATGGAAATAATAGTCTTACCCACTTTCCTATAGCCCTTGAGCCTTTTTACCCTAATTAACTATGTAAAGATTGTAAAAAACATAATTTAAAAAATGGAAATGAAAAAGAAAGGAGTGCTGAGTAAACTGAGTCTCAGTAGAGGCAGGGACTGATCCCTTTAAAAAATTATTTATCAAAAAAAATATATATTTATCTGAAAGGCAGAAGAGCAGAGATCTTCCACCCTCTGGTTTACCCGTCAAATGCCCACAGCAGCTAGGGGTAAGCCAGGGAGAAGCTAGGAGCCAGAAACTCCATTTAGTCTCCCATGTGGGTGGTGGGGACCCAAGTTTGTACTCCTCTTACGCATTAGCAGAAAGCTGGACTGGAAGCACCGGTAGCTAGGATTCGAACTGAGCATTCTTGTGATGGCTGCGGGCATCCCAAGTGGTGGCTTAACACACTGCTCCACAGCATCTACTGGCTTACAGTGGTCTCTATGAATCCCATGGAGCCCTGTGCAGAAGCATCTCTGTGGGTGCCACCTGCCACATGGATGCAGCCAGCAGCCCCAGGCTGAAGGGCTTACTGGGCCTGGGTCACTTATTTTCTCTTAGGGACACTTGGGAGAGCTTATATGTGGGGGAAGACAATTAAAATGCATGTTACAAGGGAGCTAGCCCTGGGCTAGCAATCTGTGAGGCTCTTGTGTGTGTGTATTGAGGGGACGGTGGTAGCATTTAATCCAACTGGCTCTAACCTGCTTCCTGCCACCAACCCCGGGCGCTTGCTAGAAGTCATCCTCCTCTGAGAGAAGCCTCCTGTCTAGTCTCCAGTCCTACATCACTGCCATTTCACACCTCTGACCCTGACTTGTCAGCAAATCTGCCCCTCTTCCTCTGCAGTCAGCTCACCAGCAGCCTGGTCCTGCTGCTTTTCCATCTAGCCCTGCCTCTCTACGGTACCCCAGGTTCCAGCTGACAGAGCCAGGGTTCCCTAGACACGCTGGGCTGGCCCTCCAGCCCCTTTAGGAACCTGCGCTGAGCTCCCTTGCAGATCTCCCACTAACCCCGTACTGCTGTCACCTGAACCACCTTGCAGCTGGAATCACTTCCCACCTCTTCTAGAGCCATATGGTGCCTCTTATCCCCTTATGAGCTCATTCATTCATTTTCCCATCCCAGGGAACACTGCTGATGGGATAAGGGCTATGCCCTCCCCAGCATGGGCTTCACACCGCTAGGTACACAACTGGAAGATGGTGAGAGGGAGGGATGAACAGACAGGACCATGAGGCACAACTGAATATGAGCAGCTCAAAGGACTGAGAAGCTGGGGCGAGTGCAGGCCTGTTGAGGCACAGCCACACAGCCTCCACCTGTGGTGCTGCTGTCCATTTCAGTGCTGATTTAAGTCCCAGGTGCTCTACTTTCACTCCAGCTCCCTGCTAGTACACCTGGAAAAGCAGCAGAAGATGGCCCAAGACCTTGGGCTTGTACACCCCCTCAGGAGACCCAAATGAAGCTCCTGGATCTTGGTTTTGGCTTGGCTCAGCTCTCTAGCTATTGAGACCATCTGTGGAGTGAACCAACAGATGGAAGTTGTATCTCTCCAATAAATAAATCTTTTTTTTAAATGCAACTTTACATACTTCATTCCCCAAGAAGAGATTCCCAAGTGCTTTCCCATCCATCCTAGGTGGCCTCATCTCTGTATACACACACCTATGATTCTACCCTGTTCTAACTATAATAGCCCCCTCTTACCTGCAGTGTCGCCTCCTATGGTTTCATGGCCATCCCTGGTTTGAAAATATCCAAATCGAAAGTTCCAGGAATAAGCAGTTCATAAATGTTAGATTCCTCACTCCAACCCACTCGTGGTGAGTCATCCATCCCTCCGGCACTTCCACACTCTATGCACTACCTTCCTCCCCGCCCCACCATCACTCAGCAGCCACTTGGCTATCGCATGGACTGCTGCAGTATTGCATGGCCTGCGTTCAGATCACCCTTATTCTACTGAAGGTGCAAGCGAAACCCCAAAGCGCTTTCTCTAAGGGTGGCTTCACAGCATCACAAGAAGGGTGAGCAGGGGGAATCCGGCATTTCGAGACCACATTCACGTAATTTTATTATCTACCTTGTTGTCACTGTTCTTAGTTATTGTTAATCTCTTATTGTCTTTACAAAGTTCATCATAGGTGTGTGTATACAGAGAAAGCAGCCGACAGAGTTCTGCTAAGACCATCCCTCGGACATCTTCTCCTACTGTGAAAGAACCTGGGCATTCCCCAGGGCCACCGTCATTGTCCGGGAGGGCAAGGAGGCACAGAGCAGCAGAGTTACCAGGGTCAGGGCTAGCCCCGAGCCCCAGGCTCACTGGTTAGGAGCACTGCCAGGGAAGGCAGCAGCTCTCAGCGCTGGCATCTCCAGGACCTGGAGGCGGGACGCAAGAAGGGTCTTAAAGCTCCCCCAGGAGGCTGAGGACCCCAAGGAAGCGGGACGCGTGAGCCCCTTCAATAGCTGCACCGAAGAACTGAGCGGGGCTCGGCGAGGCCCAGACCGCCACAGGGAGGCCTATTAGGAATAGGCAGAATAGCACGCGGCTGGGCCGCTCCTCCGGGAGAGCCAGCTTAGGAACAGTGGAAGTGCTGAGTGCAAGTCAAAAACCAACTAACCAACCAACCAAACAAAAAACTCCGGGGGAGCAGAGTGGGGGTGGGTGGGTTAGGGCGGGAGGCACCCCGGTGCTAGCCTCCGACAGAACGGCCAGAGTGGAGAGCGCAAAGAAGCGGGGCTGGCCAACTCCCAGATGACCAGCAGGGAGGCTGGGGGCTGTGACCTTACACCCAACGACACCAGGAAGGGACCAAGCGTAGCCTGGCACGGCGGGGGCACTGGGCGCGGCCGTGGGGAGGCTGAGCGGAGTCGGGGGGCGAGGGGGGGGTGCGGCGCAGGATGCTGTCACTTTGGGGACTTTCCCCTCTCACTCCATCCTCCTCCCGAAACAAAGCAGGGGCAGGACTCACCCACGCCTCGGAAGCCCTCCCTGACGCCATCTCTGGCCGACTGCCAGGGGGACCCTCCCTGGGGCTGCCTTCGCTCCTTCTCTCCCGGCCAGACCGCCACCCGCCTTCCTGGCTGCCCCGGAAACTGCCCGTCCGGCGCCTCTGGGCATCTCTATCATAGCGTGCCTGTATCCCGCGCTCTGGGTCCCGCATCGCAGCCGGAACCGGGTCAGGCGCGCCCGGGGCCGCCTAGCTCCTGGGACCCTGGTCCGCCGCGGGGCATTGCCCGCCAGAGTTGCCGACCTGGAGATCCTGGGTCCCCCCTGCCCGGCCCGCCGGGGCCCCTCCTGGACTCACCTGACTTGCCCATGGCCGGCTAGGCGCACTCCTCGCTGGGTGTCCGCTGCGCTCCGGGCCGGCCCGCGCTTTACTGGCCCAGAGGGGCCGGGCAGCTGCAGTCCCTCCCTCGGCACCGCCCGGCCCCTGCCTTTTAAGGAAGGCAGAGACAGCTGCGGGCGGAGGCGCTCCGGGCGGATTTGAGGGTCGCTGGCGCTCGCCCTCCCCCCCAGTGGACCCCTCTCCTGATGCCGATTGCCGGGCGTGGAGAGAAGCCCACGCATCTGTCACTCGTGGGGCTCCCGGTGAGTCTTCGACGGCTGCCACGCCTCGAGGACCGCGAAATTCACGGCTGCAGCATGACTGGGGGGTGAGGATTCATGCTACCCCTGGCTACACTGGCCCCTGGCATTCAGTTCAGATCCGGGGGTGTCCCCTTCCCCTGTGCAGTGGCCTTCGGCTGGCAGGTCGTCCGGTTTTAGGGGCGGGAAGGGGGGTGGTGATGAGCACCAGCCGACATGGAGCTGGACCCCATTGACCTCTGGGATGGGGGCACACCACAGCTGGGACCTTGTTGACCCTGTCCCATTGACCCTTGTCGCTCCCCAGACTAAGTCCAGTTCCCCACTCCTGAAGTGTGGCTCTGCAGTCTGGGATTCCCCAGTTCCTGCCTTTGCCTCCGGCTATTCCCTTAGCTGGTTGGCACAAAGCCCCATCCCTACCCATGCCTTGGAGCTTCCAAAGGTCCAGCCTTTTCTGGCCTTGGTCCTGGGTCAAGGCCCTGGCCACTGTGTGCAAAAAGCACTTGGGTGAAGATGCAGGCTGGGTCTCCTCAGAGAAAGTCCTTCCTGGGCAAGGAACCCCTCCTCCACTCTTGCTAAAGGGGCCACCTTAAGACTGCTCATGAAGATCCCCCGTGAGCTGGTCTTCCAGGGGGTGGGTTTGCAGATGTGCAGTAAAGCAGCATCAGGGCTGGCACTGCCTTCTCTGCTCCTTCCTTCACTGCCAAGTCAACACCCTCGGCTGCGTTTCAGCACTTGTCCTGTTCAGAGTTGCTCAAGTGGCTTCCAGATGGAAGGAACATCCGGTGCCGGGTATTGAGCGAACCCGCTGTGACATTCAGCGTCCTTCCTGTTTTGCCCACAAAGCCCCGTGGAACTGATCAGAAGGACTCCCAGATCGGTCTCTAGAAAGTGCCTTCCGTGTAACCCAAACTCTGAGATCACAGTGGAGGCAGACAGCTCTTGTCTGCATGCAGAGACCCTGCAGGGACTGTTTCTTGGTTCAGAGGTGAGGCCTGAGAGGTGGGAGGGCTGACAAGGGAGGGGCCAGAGTCCCAGCATGGGGTCATCTGTGGAGTCTACAAAAGGGGTACTGCTGGGTGCTCTCAGGGTAGCCTAAGCACCAGGCATGTGGTGGGGACAGCACTGAAATGTATCTAGTGCTGTAAAACAATTGGAGCTGGCTCAGACCAAAGCCGGAGCAGGGTGTATCTTCCAGGTCTTCCCACATGGATGCAGGGGTCCAAGGACCTGGGCCATCCTTTGCTGCTTTCCCAGGTGCATTAGCAGGGAGCTGGATTGGAAGTGGAGCAACTGGGACTAGAACTGGTGACCATATGGGATGCCAGCACCACTGGTGGCAGCTTAGCTCACTATGCCACAACATCACCCCAGTTTTAGCTCTTCCATTAATTTTTATCGAACATTTAACAACCCTTAGATTAGGGTGGGAATCTTAAAAAGAAAAAAAAAAGGGAAAAAGAGAGAGAGAGAGAGAGATCCCCTGTCTACTGGTTCACTCTGCAAATGGCTCCAATGGCCAGTAGCAAACCTTAAGCTGCTTAGATGCAGGGACCCAAACACTCAAGCCGTCCTTCACTGCTTTCTCAGGCCCCAGCAGGGAGCGCGATGGGAAGTGGAGCTGCCGGGACATGAACTGGAACTCATATGGGATGCTGACTTCGCAGACAGGGCTTTGCTTGCCACTATATGGGTCCTAACAATTGGCTTTTTAATGTTTTGAGTTGGCTGATCCATCAGCCTGTTATACATTTCTGTTTATTCTCTCATTTCTCTTAGTTATATGGTGGGAGATATTAGTCTGTGATTAATTCTCTACTTGGTCATGTATTGGTTTTGATGTTTTTGGTTTGTTTTTTCCTGCAGACTTTGGGGTCAGGATAACTGGTCTTGTAAAATAGTTTGAAAAGGAGTCTGTTTTATGTTCCTGAAGAATAGTGTAGCATGAATATTATTCCTTTTTCTTTTTTTGAGCTTTATTTTTATTGGAAAGGCAGATTTTACAGAGAAAAGGAGAGACAGAGATTTTCCATCTGCTGATTCAGCAATGGCTGGAGCTGAGCCAAGCTGAAGCCAGAGCTTCTTCCGGGTCTCCCACGCAGGTGCAGGGTCCCAAGGCTTTGGGCCATCCTCGACTATTTCCCAGGCCACAAGCAGGGATCTGGGAGGGAAGTGGAGCAGCGGGACATGAACTAACCACCCATGTGGGATCCTAGTGCTTGCAGGCTCTGCTTCCCTAAGGGGCCCTGCCGTGTGGCTCCTGGAGGACGCGTGCAGAGAGGTGAAACCCCTGAATGGGGACGTACAGGTTCTTGTCTGAGGGTCAGTAAGGTGCTGCTGTCTTCTGGATTCCGCCCTCCTGCTGAAAACGAGTAGTTTTTTGCAGTCTATTCAGTGTCACTTTTTCTTTTCTTTTTTTTTTCTTTGCATTTTCATCCTTTTTATTGGTGATTTTGTTGTTTAAAATATTTCCTGGGGGGCTTGTCATAGCAGCCTAGTGGCTAGAGTCCTTGCTTTGCACGTGCCAGGATCCCATATGGGCACTGGTTCATGTCCTGGTGGCCTTGCTTCCCATCTAGCTCCTTGCTTATGGCCTGGGAAAGCAGTTGAGAGCAGCCCAAAGACTTGGGATCCTGCGCCCACTTGGTAGACCTAGAAGAGGCTCCTGGCTCCTGGCTTCAGATCAGCTCCGCTCCGGCCATTGCAGCTATCTGGGGTGTAAATCAACGGACGGAAGATCCTCTCTGTCTCTCCTCCTCTGTATATCTGACTTTCCAATAAAAGTAAAATCGCTTAAAAAAAAAGTTTCCTGGGGCCAGTGTTTTGATGCAGTGGGGGTAAGATGCTGTCTCTGAGCCCCAGTTTGAATCCTGGATGCTGTGCTTCCAATCTAGAGCCCTGCTAGTGGACTTGGGAAAGTGATAGAAAACCACCTTGCCTCCCACATGGTAAACCCAGGTAAAGCTCTTGGCTCCTGGTTTCAGCCTGGCACAGCTCCAGCCATTGTGGCCCTTTGGGGGAGTGAACCAGCCAATGCAGCATTGGTCTCTCTCTCTCCCTCTCCCTCTTTTCCTCTGTCTCTTCCTCTCTCTGTCTTTCAAATCAGTCAATAAATTAAAAAAAAAAGATGGCTCCCAGGGGCAGGCATTGTGGCTAAGTGGTTAAGATAGCACTTTAGGTGTCTGCATGATATATCAGTGTTTGGGAACAAGTCCCATGCGTGCTTCTGATCCAGCTTTTTGCTACTATGCATGGGAGGCAGCAGAAGATGGCTCAAGTTACTTGTGTCTTTGCCACCTAGGTGGAAGACCTGGATGGAGCTCCTGGCTCCTGACTTTGCCTGGCCCAGCCCTGGTCATTGTGGGCATTGGGAGAGAACTGACAGATGGAGATGTGGTACAGTTCATCATGCAACCTGTGTCCTGAGACAACACCACACCGTGCAGAAGGTGTCTTTAACTAGAAGTGCAGGAGGCAAAGGGCCTTCTTGATGGCTGATGGGAAGTTATGACGAGAGGCTCCCAGCAGCCTGAGCCCGTGCTGTGGTGCGTCCCGGCTGAGTCAGAGCCCCTGTGATTTTCCAAACGTAACTGCCATGATTGGTGAGGATCAGCTGTGCTGTTTCTTGAGCCTCCACAAGACCCAGCTTTTGGCTTCACTGATTTTTTTTTTACCCTTTTTCCTGTTTATGATTTTGTGGATTTACCTTTTGTGTTCAATTTTTTTTTGTCTGCTTCCTTTGGGTTTGATTTGGGTTTTTGTTGTTGTTTGTTTTGTTTTGTTTCAGTTTCCTTAGAAAGAAGCTGAGATTATTGATTCTAAATCTTTCTTTTTTGTTTTTCTAACCCAAGCATTTGGCATGATAAATTTCCTTCTGAGTCTGGCTTGAGTTGTATTCCACCGAGTTAGATGCTGTGTTTCCATTTTCCTTCTTTGTTTCTTTTTTAAGATGTATTTATTTATCTGAAAGGTAGGCTTACAGAAAGCATTGAGAGTGAGAGAGTGACTCTTCCATCTGCTGGTTTACTCCCTCAGAAAACTACAGCAGCTGGAACTGGACCAGGCTCCAGGCTTCAGCTTGGTCTCCGACATGGCCCTAGCATGAGGCCGTCTTCTATTTGTTCCCCAGGCAGGGGATGGGTAGAAGAGGTTCAGCTATGACTTAAACCAGTGCTCCTATGGAATGCTAACATCTCCAGTGGTGGCTTAACGGGCTGCGCCACGGTGCTGAGCCCGTTTTCACTGAACTCATTTTCACTGAGTTCAGAGAAGTGCCAATTTTATCATGATTTATTCTTTGGTTTATGAGTTTTTAATGAATGAAGGCAGCAGAAGATGACCAGTGCTTTCAAGTAAATAAAATATTTACTTTCAGGTAAATAAAATATTTTATTTTTTTAAAAAGGTAAATGATTACTTTCCCAGTATTTGAAAGCTTCCTGATATCTCTTAGTCACTGATTGCTCCCGTTATTTTTGTTGTAGTCAGCAAATACATTTCGTATGAATTCACTGCTGTTCACATTCACTGAGAATTGCTTTATGGCCAGAATATGGCCTAGGCTGGTAAATATTCCCTGTTACTTGGGAAGACTGGGTCTTCTGTTGTTGCTAGAAGAAATAGGCCAGATTGGCTAGTGGCTTTTCCCATGTCTCATCCTCCCTGGCTTCCTGCCTGCCTGTCCTGTCACTGGAAGGTGACATTGGGGTCTTCAGCTGGACCTGCAGATTTGTTTGTTTTTTCTTTAGAGTTTATTATCTTTGCCCCATGTACTTTGAACCCTTCTGTTTGAAGTGTCAACATTTATGCTTT